CTCTCACCAAAAAAATTCCACAGAGCTGTACGTGAGAAATGTGCATGCCCGGAGGCTGGATCTGATAACTCAAATTTCCATATGGGTTGTGAAAATCCCCTTAAAATTTCAGCCTCCTAACTTCCCCGGTTCCCGTGCTAGCCGCTTCCCCTCGAAAAGTTTCACGAGGCCATACGTAAGAACCACGCATATGTGGTGGCTGAATTTGATAATTTCAAGTTGTTCGTATGCATGGAATATTCCCTGAAAATTTCAGCCCCCCAGCTTCCCTGGCTCTCAATTTAGCGATTTTCGCGCTAGGAACCCTCACGGGGATATACGCGGGAACAGAGCATGCCTGGGGGCCGAATTTGAAATCTTTGAGTTCTATTTAGGTGGGGAACATAACCTCAAAGTTTCAGTCTTCTAGCTTTTCCCGTTCTCGAGTTAGCAATTTTCCCGCCGAAACTTTCATCCTCTCGTACGCGTGGCTCAGACTTGCGTGAGAGTTGATGCCGCGGTCCTGGGGTGGCACATGGCCAGTGAACCCAACAGCCAAATTTTGGCGCCGGAGCTTGCTTGATTGCCGAGTTGAAATACTCGGACAGACGAACGCACACACACAGCGCTATCGCAATATGTGTTTTTGCTGCCTGCTGCAGCACTCTAGCGCTGCACAGCAAAAGTACATAAAATCACTGGCGACGCGCACCAGGCGGACTCGCGCGACTATGCATTTTTCAGTATTTCGTGCTATAGCAAGATCGCTTGAAATTCCAGTAATTAGAATCTATGACATACCGGTCTTCGAAGTTCAAGAAATTAATTGTGCATCTACGTGGTACTTGGGAAGGGAACATTACGTTAAAATTTCAGTTTCCAGCTCTTCTGATTCCTAATTTGGCAATTTTTCCGCCAAAAATTTTCACTGGCTGTACGTTAGAACTTGGCACACCTGGGGGCTTAGTTTGAAATCTTTGAATTGGACATGGACTGGGAACATTTCCTTAAAATTTCAGCCCTCCAGCTTTTCTGGTTCCCGAGTTAGCAGTTTTCTTTGCCAAAAC